CCAACCCATGATCATTGCTGAGCTAACATTAATTTCCTTACTGAAACTCAGTCCCGGATTGGTTGAACTACAGAGCTCAGAGGGGAAGCAATGCACTCCAGCTAGTGTTTTTAGAAATCATTGTGACAGCAGGAGGAAACCATGTTAATGAACCTTAGGTGTACAAAAGCAAACCTAATTGTGGGGAAATAAAAACCATTTTAAGCTAGCATATTGTAACTGTTTTGTGTTGCAAATGCAATGATTTGAAGTCTTACAGGTTTGCTTAAGGCAGTGGTTCTCAACCTGTGGGTCCTCAGATGTTTTGGCCTTCAACTCCCAGAAATCCTAACAGCTGGTAAACTGGCTGGGATATCTGGGAGGTGTAGGCCAAAACACCTGGGGACCCACAGGTTAAGTCAGATCAACATGGAGATCTCTGAGATGCTTTGATGCAGTGGTTCTCAACCTGGGGTCCCCAGATGTTTTTGGCCTTCAACTCCCAGAAATCCTAACAGCTGGTAAACTGGCTGGGATTTCTGGGAGTTGTAGGCCAAAACACCTGGGGACCCACAGGTTGAGAACCACTGCTTTAATAGAAATGGAGCATGTTAGGAATTCTGAGACTTAAAAGTCCAACACCTGTGTCCATATTACAAGGATCGTGTCTTGAACTGTACACAGTCAGGTATGAAGTGTCACTTTGGGCCAAGTTCTTCTAACACAGCATAGACACTGCTTATTCCCTATTCAAGTCAGAGCATCTGCATGTAGTAAACCAATTGTTTCTCATGTCCTCATCTGTGCCTATCTTAGACTCAAGTGGCAGGAACTATCAGTCTTTAATGTGGTCCAATTTATCTTGTTTACAAGAGCTACCTCCCATGAGATTGTTGAGAAGATGAATCTCAAGTAGGGTGGAAAGAATGGCCCTCAGGTGTTAGATCCATAGGCCTACACAACCTGTGATCCTCCACGTGTTTTGGACTTCCAACTCCTAGAATTTCTGACCATTGGACAAGCTGGCTAGGGTTTCTAGGAGTTGGGAGTCCCAAATATCTGAAGGTCACAGGTTGGACAGGGCTGATCCACTGTAGAATTAATGCAGTTTGACACTAACTGCCATGGCTCAATGTTATGGGATCCCAGGAATTGTAGTTTTACAAGGTCTTCTACCCATCTGTGTTATGCCCTGCCAAACTACAATTTCCATGTCTCCATAGCAATGAAACATAGCAGTTAATAGTGCCAACGGCATCGATTCTAGTTTAGATGCACCAGTTAAGACTGCGGCTCCCACTGTGTAATGGCCAATGCCACGGAATTCTAGAAGTTCACCATCTATATATAGATGGTCATACTTTCGCCCATTCCTAACAGAGGCCAAAACTCCAGCCCATGTGCGCTCTTGGGTTCTTCCTGAGGATGTAGAAAAAAACGAGAAAGGATGTATTTTTGTATTTGTTTTTGCAGTGGCAGAGAGAAATGAGTTGCTGTTTCCTCTGGCAACAGGCTTCAGAAGGGAATCTTTGAACGAAGCAAGAAAGTCAACATTCAACACTACAGATTTTGTACTGCAAATGGAAGTAATTTAAACTGTCAGAATGACAATTTGTATGCCTATATATATTGTCTTCGTCTCTGCAAGGCCTAATAAATATACATTCTGGGTTCTTCAGAAGAGTGGCTATACTAGTGTAATTGAATAAGCTAGTACTAGCTTTCTTTGTATTCCTATGCTTGCCACAATGTATTTGTTTAATCAGCAAAGATGCAGAGAAAATCAGACCACTCCCCTTCATTAATGTATACAAGACTGTAGTTTTTGCAATCGTACTTTGGAACGTTCTGGAAGGCAAGTTTATTGGTTTTGGCAGCCTCCCAGCTGTTTCTGTAGGAATGGGGCAATTCTGCAGTTCAAAAGCAGGTTAATCTCTAGCTAGACAACATACTGATAGGGGGAAACTAATAAAGAAGCAGCACCTCGCAGACATGGCTTTAATAGCTTGGGATTTTTTTCCTCAAAAGTTTTATTGGGAGAACTACAAAACATTTACAGTACAAGGTTTACAGTCTCACACTCCAAATATGTAGTGAACTGACTCTCCAAAATATATTACAACTCAAGTTGACTTATCTTCTAGATACATTCAAAACATACTTCTGTTAAAGTAGTCCAAAGAGTACATAGTGCTGAACGTGTATCTATGTACATTTTTATTTTTAAAAAGTACTGCTCATTCATCCACCTTTCAAGGAATTTTGGGTAACTCTTGACTTTCAAAACAAGGAAAGTTTCATGTTTTGGAACTCTTAATAAAGAAATGATCATGTATGCAAAAAAAAAGGATCAAATCTAAAAGGTGGCCTCCTTTTATAAAAAGATGAGTGGTACAATTTCTTGTAGCTAAAAACCCAGCCCTACATTCAAATTCTCAAGCATTAAGAAAAATACTTATTTGGTTGAGGAAGTTTTAAGGCAAGCATGGACCCTTATATGAAGGCACTATGAGATATAATACTGGGACCCCCACCCCTTTTTATTGCTACATACTTTTGAGACTATCACAGTGTGATTGGTGAAAGTTAGGCAACACGAATACTTTTTTGGTTAATTTTTAAGAAGTCTGAATTAGGTCTGCCACTTTAAATTCTGATTGCAAAGTAGGTTTCAGCTTGGACGGGTTACAACCATTGTACATTCTAAAAAACCCATTGAAATTTCTCAAACTACTTCCACAGCATTGAGTCAGATTTCTATAAAAAAAAGCAAATGCAATCTTTCAATTTACGTAAACAAGGAAAGAAATCCATGAAATAAATATTACATACAATCTCTTAAATTAAGAATTTTACTCATTTACAATAAAATAACCAAGTGAAGTTACAAAAAGGCATATATTACTGTGAAAAGAACACACTCCACATTTTGCCGATTAATAATGGCAATCATAATTTAAACATAATAAAAGAATATATATCTATTGCTTTTCATCATACCCGATAAATACAGTATGAACAAATTACCAATGTATACTTTTCACAAGATAATAAATAAGTTAAATAGTTTCATATTGAGTTGTGCAGTGACTTGCGCAATCAACTCAGCTAAAAAAAATTAAAAAATCAGCAGTTATTCGCCAACAATTACAAACTAAATTCAGTTGAATGCTTCCAAATAAAGCAACAAAAATTGTTCTAAGCCAAACATCCACTAAGTGGTGGCAATGGAACCAATATTAAACTTTGGAATGGAAGTTTTAGCATGTTATAATATATATATAGATATATATAAAAAAACTAGAGTGTTATCAAGGCATATTCTTGGCAGGATGTTGGATTTTTTTCTTTTAAAAGCTTATACATTTAGTACATTTACTTTAAATTTGATTGAAAGGCAAAAAAATTACCCCCACACTCCTGACTCATTCTTGTTTTGTTTTCTAGAGACCTGGAGGGGCCTGGAATGCAGAGTTCATGGGCCTCCAGACTGATTGTTGATTCCTGGGGGGAGTAGGATTGGGTAGATTTGTTTGCGGATGCTCATTTTACCCTTCGTCTCCTCCCCTCCCCACATAAACACACACGTTTGAAAGATGGAATGGCTGCTGGTGATGGTGCACAGTTAACTAATCTAAAAATAAAAAGGGGAAAAAAAGAAAGGAAATCCTCCTTTTTCCAATAGTCTTTGTAGATTGAGAAAAAATGAGATTGTTCTCTTGATTATTCTCTTGCCTTTTATGAAAATTATTTTGTTCATCTCTTTAAAAAAAAAGAAACATTTCTTTTGCTTTCTCCTCTCTGAATTTGCTCAGCAATCAAAGGATTTTTGTTTTGTCTCAAAAAAAGGCATACATTAAGGGGAAAACGTATTAAAAACCAAGAAGAAAGGAAATCCTCCTTTTCCAATAGTCTTTGTAGATCGAAAACAAAAAGAGATTGTTCTCTTGATGACTATATTCTCTTGCCTTTATGAAAATTATTTTGTTCATATCTTTAGAGGAAAAAAAAGAAACATTTATTTCACTTTCTCTTCTCTGAATTTGCTCAGCAATTGAAGGATTTCGTTTGGTGTTTTTTTAAAAAGGCATATACTGGGGGACAAAAGTATGAAAAACCTGGGGGAAAAAACAACAAGAATCAAAAGTCTGTGCGAGCTTGGCTAGTTAAGTTTTCTGGAGGCGGTTGCAGTCTCTGCTTTGGAGGAGAAATGGAGGAGGGGGGGATAACAGCCTGCTCAGTGTGACCCCAAGGAAAGATGAGGAAGGGGAGAAAAAAGGAGGATGCTTCCAATGAGGGGTCGTCCCAAGAAAAAAGGAGAGTGGGGGGAGAGAGGCAACTCTATGGACAAAAGGACATGGGGTCAGAGAAAGGGGGGTCACTCAAATGGAAGAGAAAGGAGAGGGAGGCTGACTCCCCAACTAAAGGGGGTCACACCAAGGAAAGAGGAGGGGACAAAGGATTGTAAGGTGGCCCCCTCAACTGAGGAGTCTGTCAAGGAAAGGAAGAGGAGAGAGATGGGAAGCCTGCCCCCAACTGAAGGAAAAAAGGGAGAAAGGGAGTCACTCCAAGCAAGGCAGGCCTGGGCCTACTTGGGTCTTCCCTCCAGGTGTTTTGGACTTCCAACAGAGCTGGGATTAGTCTAACCCAGGCTTTTCCCTCCAGGTGTTTTGGACTCCAACTCCCAGCATTCCTAACAGCCTCAGGCCCCTTCCTTTTCCCCTTCAGCCGCGTGGCTGAGGGGGAAAAGGAAAGGGCCTGAGGCTGTCAGGAATGGTGGGAGTTGGAGTCCAAAACACCTGGAGGGAAGGCCTCAAGTGGCTGAGGGGGAAAAGGAAGGGGCCTGAGGCTGTTAGGAATGCTGGGAATTGGGAGTCCAAAACAACTGGAGCGAAGGTCCAAGTAGGCCTAGGCCTGTCTTAATTGGCTGAGGGGGAAAAGGCAGGAGCCTGAGGCTGTTAGGAATACTGGGAGTTGAAGTCCAAAACAACTGGAGGGAAGGCCCAAGTAGGCCCAGGCCTAGGCCTGCCTTAGAGAGGCCCAAGCTGGCCCAGGCCTGCTCTTAGGGAATCCCTTCCTCAGTCATCGGAGACTGAGAGGCGGCTGAAGATGGGGAGGCGCCTCCCAGAGTCGAGGCCGGGCGACTCGGAGCCGCTGAGGGAGCCAGAGCTGAGGGAGCCGCTCAGGTAGCTCTCGCGGTCAGAGAGCGAGTCCTCAGGCGGGCTGGGCGGTGGAGGCGGCGCGGCATCAAAGACGGGAGACTCGGAGAGGCGGCGCAAGGGCTGGAAGCTGAAAGGCGGCGAGGCCGGAGGAGCGGGAGGAGGAGGCGGCGGAGGAGGAACAGGACAACAGCTCCCTCCTCCTCCTTGTTGTTGGTGGCAGCGATAGAAAGCGGTGAAGCAGCCATTCTGAGGAGGAGGCGGAGGCGGCAAGGCCAGCGCTGGCGCAATGAGGCTGCCTAACTCCTGCCCGGCTGAGAAGGCGAAGGCGTTGTTGGCACACGACGGTGGGGAGGCCACTAAATCATCGCAGTAGGACGAGGAGGGAAGCGGTGGCGGCGTGCGGGAACCCCCTCCTGCTGTCCCGACTCCTCCTGGGCCGCTCTCCAAAAGCAAGGCCGCGGCTGCAGCAGCCACTTCTAGGCCTCCCGCGGTGATGTGGTTGCCATGGTGATGGGCAGAGAAGCCGGAGAAGCTGAGGCTGTGGTGCAGTTTGGGCCTCTCGCGAGAGTGCAGCACCCCGAAGCCTGAGAGGGGAAGGTCCCGGATGGAGGAAGTGTGAGGCGGGACGAAAGCAGCTCGGAGGTCGCCAGTGCTGCCAGCGTGATGGCGATGAGGAGGCGGAGGCGGTTGGCCGTTACTATGAGGAGGAGGAGGAAGAGGAGGCTGGGCCTGTTGTTGTTGTGGAGGCGGAGGAGGGAGAGGAGGTGGCGCGCTCCCACTGGGTGGCGCAGGGCGGCGCTCGTCAGCGTTGTGGATGAAGTGGCAGCGCGGGCCGTAAGGGCAGAAGCCAATGGTGTGGAAAGTGCGGCAGAGCTCCGTCTTGTACTTGGGGTGCCGCGTGAGGCTGCGGAGCTCATGGAAGCCGTGGGCGAACTGGCACTTCTCGCCGTACTTGCAGGCCCCGCTCTCCTCGAAGGGGCGGCACAGCTCCGTCTTGTAGCGCGTCGAGTTGATAGGCGCGCCCCCTCCGCCATTACTCCCATTGTTGTTGTTATTCCCGTTGCCTCCTCCTCCTCCTCCTTTCGTCGCTTGCTGGAGCTGCTGCATGAGGTGTTGGCTCCGCTCGCCATTCTCGCTGAAGGACCGGTCCCGGAACTTGTTCTCCTTGTTGAGCAAGGCGGTGGTGGTGGCGGCACTCGAAGGAGCAGAAGAAACAGGTGCCTGCTGGTGGGGATGATGAGTGGGGCTGATATTCCCCCCTCCTCCTCCATTGCCAGGCTCCTTGAGGCTCCCAAAAGAAGACGGAGAAGAGGAGGAGGAAGATGATGAAGACGAGGACGACCCGCTGGGGAACTTGGGGCCTCCGTTGGCCAAGGCCTGGAGGTTGCTGGCCGAGTGGCGCCTCAGGAAACCCGGTGCAAAGCCAGAGCCAGGCGCGTTCCCCACAGGGCTGCCCACTGCCTTCTTGTCCAGCATACTGCTCAGGGACTTCTCGGTCTGGGAGCCGGAAAAAGGGGAGAGGAATGGGGATGTGGGCCAGGAAAGAAAGGAGTCGGGTTAGGAATCAGTGTTGGAAAGGGGGAGGCAAACACACCAACAAAACAGGAAGAAAAACAGTGCAAAGTGACTGGGAGAAGAGCTTATTTCTCCCCCAGACCTGTCCATGCCTTTCCCTTTCTTTCCTTCCTTGCATTGGCTGACCACAACAACAATAGTATTAGTTTTCCAGGCTATAAAGCCCACAAGTGACTGGGGGAAGGAAGAGTTTGTTTTCCCCCCAGACCTGTCCATGTCTTTCATTTCCCTCCTTGCATTGGCTGACCACAATAATGTTATTTTCCAGGCTTTATGGCCCACAGAGATTGGGGAAAAGTTTGTCCCCCCCCCCGACCTGTCCATGCCTTTCCCTTTCTTTCCCTCCTTGCATTGGCTGACCACAACAACAATAATAATAGTTTTCCAGGCTTTATAGCCCACAGTGACTGGGGGAAGAGTTTCTCTCCCCCCCCCCTCCATGCCTTTCCCTTTCTTTCCCTCCTTGCATTGGCTGACCACAATAACATTTGTAGTAGTAGTAATAATAATAGTTTTCCAGGCTTTATGGCTCACAGTAACTGGGGGAAGAGTTTGCCCCCCCCCCCGACCTGTCCATGCCTTTCCCTTTATTTCCCTCCTTGCATTGGCTGACCACAACAACAAGATTAGTTTTCCAGGCTTTATGGCCCATGGTGACTGGGGAAAGAGTTTGCCCTCCCCCGCCAGTTCTGTCCAGGCCTTCCTTTTTCTTTCCCTCCTTGCACTGACTGACACAACAATAGGGTTGCTGTGGGTTTTCCGGGCTGTATGGCCATGTTCCAGAAGCATTCTCTCCTAACGGCTCACCAGGCATCCTCAGAGGTTGTGGGGTCAGGCATGGGCATTGAAAATGAACAAAATCTAACTACTGGTATTTTTAAAAAACCTCTAAATTCAGAATAATGAAAAAAAACAATGCTAAAAATAGAGGAATTCCAGACAAGAAACAATCAGGGCCAGCTAACACCCAACCAAGGATTCCCCCAGGCAGGAAGCAGCCAAGCCTCGAAGCTGCAAGGCTATTCAATGCTAATCAAGGTGGTCGATTGCAGCATTCACACTGACAATCAAACAGACATTCCACAGATATATAAACTCCACTTGCAGAGTTTCCAACAGATCTCACAACCTGTGATTACGCCTGTACGAAACGTCAGGAGAGAATGCCTCTGGAACATGGCCATACAGCCCGGAAACTCACAACAACCCATTGATTCCAGCCTTGAAAGCCTTCGACAGTAGAATAATAATTTCTATACTGTAGCCCTACTCTGGGCAGGTTCCAACATACAAGGCAAAACATTCAATTGCCAGAAAGGAAAACCATACAGAAAAATTAAAAACAAACGTCATAAAAACATACAAATCCGTTAAAACGTGTGCAAAAAAACAGGCAAAACATTCAATTGCCAGAAAGAAAAACCATACAGAAAAAATTTAAAAATAGAACAAAAACTTGCTAAAACATACACAAACCTCCCTCCCGCCGCTCCAAGCAAGTCTGAGCTGAGATTTAAAACTTTGGGGGTTTTCTTTTGGTCTCAAAACCCCTCCCTCCCCCCATGACAACTCAAGCCTCCCTTCCCGCCGTTCTCCAAGCCATTCTGAGCCGAGATTTAAAACTTGGGGTGTTTTCTTTTTGCTCTCAAAACCCCTCCCACTCGAGGCTAAACTTGCACTTCTTCCCCGATTCAATCGTTATGACTTGTTGCAGCCAAACTTTTGGAAGCCGCCCTAACAGTTCAAAAACAACCAATGTTGCAGAAGATATAAAATCTATATAACCCCACAACCTCTGAGGATGCCTGCCAGAGATGTGGGCGAAACGTCAGGAGAGAATGCTTCTGGAACAATAGCCATACACTTTGGAAAACTCACAGCCACTCATATAAGAAATAATTGGGTTGCTGTGAAGTTTTCCCGGGGATGTATGGCCATGTTCCAGAAGCATTCTCTCCTGAGGTTGTAACGATTGAGGATGGCCTGCCATGGATGTGGGTGCAGCGTCAGGAGAGAATGCTTCTGGAGCATGGCCATGCAGCTCGGGAGAATTTGCAACAACCCCAAGGAGAGTTAGATAGGTAAAAATAAAAGTTCCACCAAAAATAAAAGTTCCCACCCTCTCTTCTTCGTACAAATCTGCAAATTGGATGTGTGCAGGACACACCCTTCCTCGTTGTTGTTCTGCTATGCGTTGCAAGTTCCAATGGTGTCCACTAATGCACCCTTCTCTTTCTTGCTTCTTGCAAAGAGAGTTGTGATCTGGAAGGCGACACGTCCCTCTCCAAAGCCCAGTTTACAAGCATTTAATACATTAGCTGATTATTATTATAGACTACTTTAATGCAGTTAGAGGGGGCTACACTGACCATATAGTAAGGAGTTTCTGCATTATATGGCAATGTAGATAGGCTTAGAGCAGGCATGGGCCCTCCAGGTGTTTTGGACTCCAACTCCCACCATTCCTAACAGCCTCAGGCCCCTTCCTTTCCCCCCTCAACCGCTTAAGCGGCTGAGGGGGGAAAGGAAAGGGCCTGAGGCTGTTAGGAATGCTGGGAATTGGAGTCCAAAACACCTGGAGGGCCTAAGTTTGCCTATGCCTGGGTTAGACTAATTCCAGTTCTCCAAAAAAGCAAAGAGTAAAGATAAAGAGTTCATAGTACACCCTTTCTCCTTACTATTCTCTATTGCAAAGCAAACTTATAAGCAAAGGGACTATATTCTTTCTCTTCTCCAAAGAGCAACAAGAAATAAGTTTAGAATAGCAAATTACTATTCTAAATCCGTTACTATTCTGTTTCCACCACAAAGCAAAACCTCTCTGCAAAAAGGAACGTCCTGCAAAGCTTATTTATCGTATCAGAAGCGAGGGTATAGTTTAAAAAGTATTTGAAAACACAAAAGTTAAAAGGACTTGAAGGCCCCTTTGCATTATGCATACGAATCTTCTCCAAACAGTCCCAAATCGAAGTTACTCAGAAATTTGAAGTCTACTCCCAATTGCACTTGTTGCAAAACAACAAAATAAAGGTTTGCAAGTTTGCAAACTAGCCCTATTCAGCCCAATAGGGACTGACTCCCAAGAGAAAAGGGTCGTTTGCAGACTTCTTTTGCAAATTTGCAGACTTCTTTTGCAAGTTTGCAGGCTTATTTTGCAAACTAGCCCTATTCAACCCAATAGGGACTGATTCCCAAGTGAAAAGGGTCGTTTGCAGACTTCTTTTGCAAACTAGCCCTATTCAGCCGTATAGGGACCGACTCCCAAGTGAAAGGGGTCGTTCTGGCTTCTTTTGCAGACTTCTTTTGCAACTTTGCAGATTCCTTTTGCAAAACTAGCCCTATTCAGCCCAACAGGGACTGATTCCCAAGTGAAAAGGGTCGTTCTGGCTTCTTTTGCAAGTTTGGAGGCTTCTTTTGCAAGTTTGCAGACTCCTCTTGCAAACTAGCCCTATTCAGCCCAATAGGGACTGACTCCCAAGTGAAGAGGCACAGCTCTTAAAGCACAGCAGGCCAATGCAAAAGGCGTGCTGAACTCCCCACAGCTCGTTCCCGGGCCTTTGCAACAACTGCAGACTTTCCCCAGCCAACAAGTTCCTTCCCAAAGCCACCCCTCCCTCCTTCCCTCCCTSCTTCTCACCTTGCAGAACAAGTCGATGTCGTAGAAGGCAGATAACAGCGTCGCAGACATGTCTAGATCCTGTAATGGTCGGAAATGCAGCAAGGACCGAAAGATCCCACTCTCCTCGGGAGCTTTGGACGAGCCACGACTGGATAAGGTGAGGGGGCTGGTGGCTGGAGGCGGGAAATCAAGTCCTATTTCAAAAAGGGGGGGGCGCTTTTCCTTCCCTTTTTTTTTGTTTTTGCAGCAAGAGATGGGGAAGCACAGATCTTGCTGTGCTTGCTTGCTTGCTTGCTTTCTCCCTTCTCTCTCTCTCTCTCACTCCCTCTCTCTCTCCCCGCTGCGGGAACTTGGCGGCTGGGGAACACGCCCCATATATAAACGCCGGGGCCGCGGCGGGAGGGGGCCCAGCCCTGGCCCAGCCGGGTGTCCCAGCAACGGCGCCCCGCCCACCTCCCTTAGCCACGCCCACTCCGGGGCGCCGCACCGCTCTCATTGGCCGCCGCCAATTTTCCTCTCCGTGACCCGGAGGGCGGGGAGGCGGAGCGAATGGAAGAGCCGATCCAGAAGGAGGAGGAGGAAGGAGAGCGTGCTTGCTTGCTTGCAAGTAAAAGGAGGGAGTGTTTGGAGCAGTTTCTCTCCCTCTTCCAAGCCTTTGAATTTTACAGATTTGTTACATTTGCTATCTGTCTTTCTGCAGTTCCCAACTTTTGCAGTTTCCTATCCTGCCTGGTGCTTATCCTTCTCCATTTTTTTGCAACGCAAACAAGAAGATCCCAGGCCGTGCTAGGCACGCGCTCAACAGAGCCAGCAGTGTGTGCTCCTTTGTGCGCGAGACCTCAGTGGGAAGCTGGAAAGGGAACACAGTCTTGGGGGCGCTTTGGGGAGGGTGTTTCTACACTGCAGAATTAACGCAGTTTGGATCCTGGGATTGAGAGCTTGGTGGGGCCTTTCAACACAGCCAGGATTCCTCAGTCTTGGGGCTTTGGGTTAAGAGTGTACAATTAACGCAGTTTGGATCCTGGGATTTATAGTTTGGTGAGGTCTTGTTAACACAACCAGGATTCCTCAAATCTTGGGGTTTTGGGGGGTGCTTCTATATTGTAGAATTAATAGTTTGGATCCTGAGATTTATAGTTTGGTGGGGCCTTTCAACACAGCCAGGATTCCTCAATTTTGGGATTTGGGGGGGGGGGGTGTTTCTACACTGTAGAATTAATGCAGTTTGGATCCTGGGATTTACAGCCTTTTTAACACAGCCAGGATTCCTGTTTCGGGCACTGAGTTGGGATACTTCTACACTGTAGAATTAACGCAGTTTGGATCCAGGGATTTATAGTTTGGTGGGGCCTTTGAATACAGCCAGGATTCCTCAATCTTGGGCTTTGGGAGTGCTTCTGCACTGTAGAATTAACGCAGTTTGGATCCTGGGATTTACAGCTTGGTGAGGCCTTGTTAACACAGCCAGGATTCCTCAATCTTGGGGCTTTGGGGGGAGGGTGTTTCTTCACTGTAGAATTAACGCAGTTTGGATCCTGGGATTGTTTGATGGGAGTTTTTTGGTAGAAGGCGAAAGACTTTGGAAAACCACAACTCCCACGACCCTTTTGAGCCATGGCAGTTAAAAGTGGTGCCAAACTCTGCACTAAGTCAGCAGCCTAGATGCATTGTGGACTTCAGCCTCCTGAAGCTGGAAGCGAGTGGGAGTTTGAAACCTTCATAAAACCCGGAGCACGAAAGTCCGGGAAGGGCTACTTTGTAAACGGGAGAGAGGCTGATAAAGGATCCTTTAGCACAGGGTTTCATGGCTGGAATCACAAGGTTGCAGGCGAAACGTCAGGAGAGAATGCTTCTGGGAAAACAACCCAAATTTTTAGCGACGTTGCGCGCCTCGGGCGTGTCTAGACACCCAAACGCCTCTCTACGCCGAAGAACTAAACGCCATGATGGCTCAACGCGGCGGGATCTTGGGAGTTGTAGTTTGGTCGGGGCAGGGACGAAGGCGGAAGACCTCGTTAGAATTACCACTCTCCCAGGAGATGTGGCTGTTAAAGAGAGTGGTGCCCAAACAGCATTGAGTTCCAACAGTGCGGGCCAAGAGGCTGAATCCCTGGAGGTCTCTCCACTCTCTAGGAGCCTTCAAAGAGTTCCAAGCCAGGCTCAGGGCGGGAAAACAAGAGTGACTCCTCCTCCTCCTCCTCCCACCCAGGATCCCTTGTGTGCCACGCAACAGGGCTCTTTCTGCCCCCCTCTTTTGGCAAACAAAAGGCTGGGGATGGGGCTTGGGAGTCTGGGGAAGGGAGGAAGCAGGGCTTTCCTTCTTTCCTTCCTTCCTTCCTTCTTTCTCCGGGAGCCCGCGGGCTGCTGCTGACTCCTCTCTCGCCCTTCCCAGACTTGGCCGGCGCTCAAGGTCTTGTGATCGGACTGGCCGAGCCAGCTCCGCGCCTCCTTTGACACACAGCCCCGAGAAGGCTTCCCAGCCAGGACAGGCAGAGAGAGAGAGGAGCCCCGCCTTCCAAGCCTCGGCTTCCTTCCCTTCTGCCCCGCCTCCTCTTTTCTCCTCCATTTCTGTCCTCTTCCCAATCTCTTTTTCTTCCCCCTCTGTATAGATCAGGCCTGGGCCAACTTTGGCCATCCATGTGTTTTTGGACTTCAACACCCACCATTTCCTAACAGCTTCGCCCCCCCCCCCCCCAGCCACTTATGCTAGAAATAGTTTTCTAAGATCTTCAAAGATTCTGGCAGGAACACCTCAGCAAGCCAGAGTCCAAAAGTGACAGGCTAAAACGCAGAACCTCAAGCCATGGCTGGCACCGAATGAGAGACTCCCTCCTGGGTGCACAAAAGACTGCGCCCAGATGCAGAGCCAACCTTAAATGGGGCCACAAAGTGGATTCCACAACATTTCTGTCCTCTTCCCAAATTCTTTTTCTTCCTCTTTTGGCCCGGACCAACTTTGGCTATCCATGTGTTTTTGGAATTCAACTCCCACCATTCCTAACAGACTCAGGCCCCTCCCCCCCCCCCCCCCCCCCAACGAGCCACTTAAGCCTAGAAATAATTTTCTAAGATCTGCAGAGATACTCGCAGGAACACCTCAGCAAGCCAGAGTCCAAAAGTGGCAGGGCCAAAACAAGGGGTGATAGCATGATAGGTGGGTCCAGAAGCTCAGAGCGTTACGGAGATGCCGCAAAGGTGGCTGTGAATAAGGGAAAAGAGGGGGCAGAAGGAGAGCGAGGAAGGAAGGAGGGGACGCTAAGGGTTAGGGTTTGTGTAAGGGGTTAAGCTTATATGGTACAGTTCAGGGTAAGGGTTAGGGTTTCACCATTAAAGAACTCTTACATTCCTTCTATATTATCTGTCTCCGGCCTGGCTTACATTAGCTAAGTCTCTCTTGCGAAAGCATCGCTCCCAAAGGAGCGATGCGACATGTCTGTGACACTTGGAGCTTCCAGACCCAGCTATCATACTATTAGCAATCACAGAACCTTAAGCCATGGCTGGTACCGAACTAGAGACTCCCTCCTGGGCACATAAAACACTGGGCCCAAATGCAGAGCCAACCTTAAATGGGGCCACAAAGTGGAGCTCACAACATTTCTGTCCTCTTCCCAATCAGTTTTTCTTCCTCCTCTGTATAGATCAGGCCTGGGCCAACTTTGGCCATCCATGTGTTTTGGATTTCAACTCCCACCTTTCCTAACAGCTTCGCCCCCCCCCCCCCCCCCCAGCTACTTAAGCCTTAAATCAAGAAGTAGTTTTCTAAGATCTACGGACATACTTGCAGGAACACCTCAGCAAGCAAGAGTCCAAAAGTGGCAGGCTAAAACACGGAACCTCAAGCCATGGCTGGTACCAAATGACACACAGAAGACTGGGCAGCTTGGAAGGTGCAGAACAGACTGCGCTCTAGCACCATGAGATGCAGAGCCAACCTTAAATGGGTCCACAAATTGGAGTTCACGACATGCGAGTGTGGAGAAGAGCAAACCACAGACCACCTACTACAATGCGGTCTGAGCCCTGCCCCATGCACAATGAAGGACCTTCTTATAGCAACACCAGAGGCACTCCAAGTGGCCAGCTACTGGTCAAAGAACATTTAATATAATGCCAAGTTTTCAAACTTTGTGTTTTTTAAATACATTACAACTGTACCCTTGGTTCACCTCTGATACGATAAATAAATACCTCCACGGCCCAGTGCTATGGAATCTTGGGAGTTGTAGCTTTACAAGGTCCTTAGCCTTCTCTGCTAAATAGTGCCACTTCCCACCAAACTCTCAATCCCGGGATACCATAGCACGAAGCTATGGTAGTTCCAAGTGTCAAGACTGCAATATGTAGTAGATCCCTCCCATATCTATTCTCAAGCTAAAGTCTGCTGGATTATTTATTAGCTCATCTTGGCAAAAAATTGTATTTTCTTACTGTGCAAACTTAACCCTCCTGGTGGCATAGCAGGTTAAACTACTGAACTTGCTGACCGAAAGGTCACATGCTCAAATCTGGGGAGCAGCATGAGCTTCTGCTGTTAGCCCCAGCTTCTGCCAACCTTGCAGTTTGAAAACATGCAAATGTGAGTAAATCAATAGGTACTGCTCCAGTGGGAAGGTAACAGCACTCCATGCAGTCATGCCGGCCACATGACCTTGGAGGTATCTATGGACAACACCGGCTTTTTGGCTTAGAAATGTAAATGAGCACCAACCGCCAGAGTTGGACACGCCTGGACTTAATGTCAGGGGAAAACCTTTACCTATAACCTTCTCTGAATAGTGCCACTTCCCAACAAGCTCTCAATCTCAGGATACCATAGCATGGCAGCTCCAAGTGTCAAGACTGCAATATACAGTATAGTAGATGCATTTCATATCTATTCTCAAGCCACAGTGTATTATTTGAGAACACAGAAATGTTGGACGAATAACAACTACCATATCAGACTACACAGAGAAGCCATTGAAATCTATAAGCATGTGGACAATTTCAACAGAAAGGAGAAAACCATGAAAATGAACAAAATATTGCAACCAGCATTAAAAAGAACTCTAAAATCATAACAGTAAATAAAGAACATTTAAAAAGGGGGAATTCCAGACAGGAAGGAGGGATTGATTTTGTCATTTAGGAGTTGTAGTTGCTGCAATTTATAGTTCACCTACAATCAAAGAGCACTCTGAACTCCACTAATGTTGGAATTGAACCAAACTTGGCACACAGAACTCCCATGACCAACAGAAAGTACTGGGAGGGTTTAGTGGGCATTGACCTTGAGTTTTGGAGTTGTAGTTCCCCTACATCCAGAGAGCACTGTGGACTCAAAAATGATGGATCTGGACCAAATTTGGCACGAATCATCAATACGCCCAAATGTGAATACTGGTCAACTTTTGTGGGAAATAGACCTTGATATTTGGGAGTTGTAGTTGCTGGGATTTATGGGTTCATCTACAATCAAAGAGCATTCTGAACCCCACCAATGATAGAATTGGGCCACAATTCCCACACACAACCCCCATGACCAACACAAAATACTGTGTTTTCTGATGGTCTTTGGTGACCCCTCTGACATCTCGTGATCACCAGGTTGAGAAACAGCTTAGCTTTCTCTGCTAAATAGTGCCACTTCCCAGCAAGCTCTCCCAGGATACCATAGTATGAAGCCATGGCAGTTCCAAGTGACAAGACTGTAATGTGTAGTAGATTCTTCCCAAATCTATTCTCAAGCCAAGGCCTGCAGGATTATTTATTAGCTCCCCTTGGCAAAGAGTGATATTTTCCTGCTATGCAAACTGGCCAAGAACTTAAAAGTTTCCCCACTCCCCATCTCTACTGTGGAATGGGGTTTGACTCCACTTTAACTGGCTCAGTGGTATGGAATCCTAGGGCCACTGTTAACACTTCAAATTATATTTCCCGTGATCCCATAGCATTGAGCCATGGCTGTTAACAGTGGTATCAAATTGCAGTCATTCTGCAATGTCACCCAAACAAAGCAAGAGGCGAATGACCTAAAAAAATCCCCCCAGGCAACAAACCATGAAAATGTACAAAATCTGACTACCAGTATTTTAAAAATTCTAAAATCAGGACAGTAAATAATAAGGAAGACTACAAAAACAAAAACCAGGGGAATTCCTGGCATGAAACAATCGGGCAGCAAACACCTTCCAACAAAGGATTCACCCAGGCATAAATCAGCCACAGATACATAAACTTCACTTATCTAGTTTCCAACTGACTGCACAACCTTTGAGGATGCCTGCCATAGATGTGGGCAAAACATCAGGAGAGAATGCTTCTGGAACATGGCCATACCACCTGGAAATCTCACAGTAACCGGAATGGCCTTTTTCTTTCTTTCTTTCTGGATATAAATGCAGAAAGATAACAAATTAGATAACAAATACTGGATTTCACAACTTCTGCTTGTTGGGTATGAACAAATCTCCTGAAACAGGATATTTGAACATTCACCTATGCTGCCTGGGAGTCTCCTTCTCTGGAGATTTTTAAGCAGACGCTGACTGGCCATCTATCAGAGTTTTTGTTGGGGGGGGGTGTTATGTCAGGAGCAACTTGAGAAACTGCAAGTTGCTTCTTGTGTGAGAGAATTGGCTGTCTGCAAGGACATTGCCCAGGGGACGCCTGGATGTTTTACCATCCTGTGGGAGGTTTCTCTCATGTCCCCACATGAGAAGCTGAAGCTGACAGATGGGAACTCATCCCACTCCCCGGATTCAAACCACCAACCTTTCAGACAGCAGTCCTGCCTGAGCATTGCGCCACCAGGGGCTCCTATTTATCAGTGGTATTTTGATTGTATTTTCCTGCATGGCAGAATGGGGTTGGACTGGATGGTCTTTGGGGTCCCTCCCAACTCAAGGATTCTTTGAAATGGGGGTGCAGGACGCCAATGTTTCTAATGGAGACAACACCCCGTGAGTGCTTGCATTCCCGTGACAGGCACACAAACATCCTCCAAACAGATTAGCCTCTATTTGTAAGCTTGCACAGCACAAAAACCTCTCATCCCAGTCAAAACAGCTGCACTCTTCCTAGATTAAACTGTTGTGGAAACCCTGGAAAGCGTCTCTTTGGTCCTATTGTTGTGCTTGTGTTAAAGTAGATTGGGGGGAAATCTACCTTTTCAGCTGCAAAATCATGGTCTGCATTCAGAAAAAAGGAAATCTAATTGGGTTCACTGGGATTTGATGTTCCGCCAAGTGTGCTCAGGGAGGCAGTGGGAAAGGGGCAGCTTTAAACATGCATTTTTATGAAATGCTGTGAGTTAATTTATAGTGGAGGGAATAAGAGAAGGCAGAAAACAATTGGGCTTTAAAACAGTGGGTTCACACCAGAGGACTTCCATTAAAAAACCTAACAAAGCCAGTGCTATAATGCAAAGACCAATCCATAACAACAGTTTGGACAAGCAAAATTTAAGATAACGGGCTGATTAAACAGGCCACAGGGAGCTACTTAGGCGCAGACGTTTGTTCCTTCCCAGCTGCTGTTTAAGGTTTAAAGGTTTCTGATTGAAAAGTTACACAGTAACTCACAGTGTGATGAAATGCACACAAGATGATGTACAATTATTTGCTGCCCATAAACCCGAAGGATACTACAGCGTTTAAAGCCATAAGACTTTTGTTTAAAGTGATAAGGCTGTTTCTTAAAGTTATGTTGTTTACTAATTAACTATGTTTCTTGAGATACTTAGTTCTCATCAAACTCAACTCGTTTTGCTCTCTCATTCTGACATGTACAATGTCAAGATCTGCCAAATATATGACAGAATAAGAGTTAAATGTGTTGTCGAAGGCTTTCATAGCCGGAATCACTGGGTTGCTGTGAGTTTTCCAGGCTGTATGACCGTGTTCCAGAAGCATTCTCTCCTGATGCTTCACCCACATCTATGGCAGGCATCCTGAGGAGTTGTGAGGTCTGTTGGAAACTGGGCAAGTGGCTTTTATATATCTGTGGGATAATGTCCAGGGCAGAAGAAAGAACTCTTGTCTGGTTGAGGCAAGGGTGAATGTTACAATTGGCCATCTTGATTAGCATTGAACGGCCTTGCAGCTTCAAAGCCTGACTGCTTCCTGACTGGGGGAATCATTTGTTGAGAGGTGTTAGCCCTGATTGATTCCTGTCTGGAATTCAGCCATAGTAGTCCATCTGATGAACCAACCTGGACACAGCATATTATTTCAGAACACAGAAATGCTGGATCACTCCAACAACCACCATGTCAGACTACACAGAGAAGCCACTGAAATCCACATGCATGTGGATAATTTCAACAGAAAGGAAGAAACCATGAAAATGAACAAAATCTGGCTGCCAGTATTTATAAAAACTCTAAAATCAGGACAGCAAATAAAGAGCAACGCTCAAAAATGGGAATTACAGACAAGAATCAATCAGGGCCAGTTACACCTCCCAACAAAGGCTCCCTCAGACAGCAATCAGACAGACTTTGAGGCTGCAAGGCCATTAAATACTAATCAAGGTGGCCAATTGCATCATTCACTCTTGCTCAAACAGACAAGAGTTCTTTCTCGCAACCTGGATATTCCACAGATATATAAACCTCCCTTGTTAAGTTTCCAAAGACCGCACAACTTTTGAGGATGCCTGCCATAGGAGAGAATGCTTCTGGAACTTGCTATAACAGCCCAGAAAACGCACAGCAACCCAATATATAGTTAGCCAGAAGTATTAAATTTAGCTAAATATAACCCAAAAGTTAAATGACACCAAAATGTGATGAAATGGCAGCTCACCACCGTACCTTTTCCCAAAACCAATTACCCATTTATGGCTTTTCAAATAAAACCACTAATTTAATATAATAAAATCAAAGCAGTAAAGATTTTTCTTCCTTCCAAGTGAAATATTGGGGAGCTTTCTTTCACATTTGATAGGGGTTTAAAAGCAATTGGATAAGCTTTCTCTCAGAACAGGCCTTCTCTTTGTTTACAGTAAATGTGATTAAATTGTACCTTAAGGAGAAAAATATTTAGGATGGATTCACTAAAGTTGCATTACTAATGCAATATTTGTGCAACTCCTCAATGTTGATACATTCGTCAATATGGTGTCCTACGGCAAAAGATGTATTATGGCGCCACCTACCGGAATGTGTCATATATATTATTTACATTTGAAAAATGATGTTTCAGGTAGCAACTTCCTTTTTATCTTTCAATATTTGATATACATGAAATTGATACACAACTCCACTTTACAAATGGCATCTGGAGTTGGTATCTTGATATTCATCACTATAAGAATAGCTCTGAAGGCTCTCGTACCACAATTCTTAGCCATGACCAAGGGAAGAAACAGTGTCTGCAGCATGTTTATCACCAGGCATAAAAATATTTACAGTTTGGCAGTATACATCCGTTCAATATATTAATGTAAAAAAAAATGCAAATGTATCACAAAGACCTTACAGTTGTGTCTGAGTCCATATCTAAAGGAAGTTTCTAATATGGTCTTAGTGAATCATGCTTAAGGATGGCAGCTTTATTTTTCCTATCCCATTTCTGAAATATATTACTAAATAAACTGCTTCATAACTGCAGTAAACAAGCAACCTTATTTGCTGAGTTCTTCTGGGGGAAGACATGTTTTTAAGTATGAGGGTTATTTGGAAAGTAAGGTTACAAGGCACACAGGGAATTATCATGGGAGAAGTTGGTATCGCTGAAGTGTAGCTGGAAGCCAGCAGAAGTGAACGAGCAGTGCCAGTTATCAGTAGCTCATTGACTGGTGTTGTGGTGAAGATTGGAGATGAGCGTCTTCATTCCGTTTCCCTCCAAGTGCGAAGTTCGCACTGTAATATGCTACCTAAATGCCACTGGAATGAACGCCGCTGCAATTCACCGCAAAATCATTTCAGTTTATGGAGAGGACATAATGTCAAGATTGCATGAATCAAAATGTGTACTGAATATATTGTGAGACCATGAAAAAACTTTGCAAAGCCATTAAAAATAAATGCCATGGGATGCTGACAGCGGGAGTCTGTCTCCTTCATGACAATGCATGTCCGCACACCACTCATGCAACACAAGAGTTGTTGACTTCATTTGATTGGGATGTTTTAAGCCACCCCTCTCACAGCCCTAATATCGTACCCAGTGACTATCATCTGTTTGCTAAATTGAAGGAACACCTTGGTGGAAAACACTTTTCTGACAATTATGAGGTGAAAATCGAAGTGACGAACTGGCTGAAAAAGGCGGAGAGAAACTTCTATGACATAAGTATCAAAAGCCCGTCCCAAGGTTGACAAAATGTATTGAACTGAATTGTGATTATGCGGACATCCGTAGGGATACCAAGGTGCTTGTTTATAAAGCTATTGTCCTCCCAACCCTGCTATACACCTGCGAGACGTGGACTGTCTACAGATGCCACATGCAACCACTGGAACGATTCCATCAGCGCTGCCTCCGGAAAATCCTGCAAATCTCTTGGGAAGACAGACGGACAAATGTCAGCGTGCTGGAAGAAGCAAAGACCACCAGCACTGAAGTGATGGTCCTCCGCCATCAGCTCTGCTGGACCGGCCATATTGTCCAGATGCCTGACCACCATCTCCCAAAGCAGTTGCTCTACTCCGAACTCAAGAATGGAAAACGGAATGTTGGTGGACAGGAAAAGAGATTTAAAGATGGGCTCAAAGCTAACCTTAAAAACTCTGGCATAGACACTGACAACTAGAAAGTCCTGGCCCTTGAGAGCTCCAGCTGGAGGTCAGCTGTGACCAGCAATGCTGCAGAATTTGAAGAGGCACGAATGGAGGGTGAAAGAGAGAAACGTGCCAAGAGGAAGGTGCGCCAAGCCAACCCCGACCGAGACCGCCTTCCACCTGGAAACCAATACCCTCACTGCGGGAGAAGATGCAGAGCAAGAATAGGGCTCCACAGTCACCTACGGACCCACCAGAACACTGATCCTGGAAGACTATCCTACTTGGCCAATGAGGGATCGCCTAAGTAAGTAAGCAAGTAAGTAAGATTATGCAGAAAATGATGTAATACCTATGCTACAATCCATGTAAGTTTTCTTTATATTTATTATTTGTATTTTAAAAAATTCTTGCAACCTTACTTTCCAGATAACCCTCGTAGTATGGATTTCACTTAAAGAAAAGTATTAGAACTGAAAGAACAACTAATTGCATTCTAATACCGAGCTGCTTAAACTGGAAGGGCAACCAAGTACTTACAACACAGGGAAAGGCTGTTATTTGTGACTACAAAAGTAAATAGTGCCTAAATTAAAGTCTTCCATGATTTAAAATTTTTAAGATTGAACTCTAATGGCGGTTTGCCATTGATAAATGCCATCTTTAAGATTGTTTTAAGGACGGGTCACATAACATAGTATGTAACGAAAGCAACACGGAGACAAGGATTGCAGCATTAGACAACGGAAATAAAAAAAACTAGTTGAATAAAACCAGCAAATCAGAGCAACAGGTGACCAGCACCTGGTGCATTGCATCAACAGGAAAAGTCTTCGTTCAGTAGCTGCATCAAAACACATTGGGTCAGATTAAAAACACAGCATTTACAGAAGAAGTCTTCCACATCATATCTAATGATGACAGAACGGATTCTTATACAAATAAATGCCTAGCATTTGTTGCTGTTAGATCCTTGTACATGGAGGATATACAAAATAAACGTACCATTCCTTCCACTCATAATGTTTCTAACTAGCAGGTAGCAGTGAGCATATCTTTAGCTTATCCCTTATTTTCAAATGTTCCTTGTTTTTGGTGGGGATGACCTCCAGCTTCCAACAGCTCTAATATTTGAAGGAGAAGGGATATTCTTTGATTCTGGATAGCCAACTTTGTGAATTCTACAGTCTGGGAAAATTCTGGAGTTGGAGGCAATTCTTGAAGACGTTGTGCCACCAGCTGGGCTTGATCAGAGGCAAATCTTGCCAATTGATGTAGCTTTCGTTGATCACATGGCGTGAGATGAGTCACCGGAATGAGCAGGAGGAGATGCTTATTGAGGAGATACACTTTTGTTAATTTCTCAGCCCAAAAATTCACTTCTCCCTTGTCAAACAGATTATCATTTCCAACCTTCATGAAAAGAAGAGAAAAGAAAAAGCAACAATGATGTGAGATAAACAACCTAATGAAAAAATCCAAACCTGTAATCAGGTCTAAAACAAAACCTTATGTGTATTTATTTACTTAGAAGTAAACCCCACTGTGATCAAGTTAATGTACGTCAGATTTTGTCAAAGGAAGTCATCTGTTATCCAGAATGCCCAAATCCTAAAAAATCCAAAACTATCCATCTGGATGGTTGAGACTGTGACACCTTTATTTCTGATAGTTCAGGATACACATACTTGGTTTCATGCACAACGTTATTTAAAATATTGTCTGAAATTACCTTCTGGCTTTGTGTATATATGAAACCTAAATGAATGTTGCATTTAGACTTGGGTCCCATCCCCCAAATTTATGCACATATATGCAAATATAGATATTTCAAAATACACAGCACTTCAGGTCTCAAGTGTTTCAGATAAGGATTGCTCAACCTGTATACACAGATATACTGAAATTATGCACATGGCTAAATCATAATGGGAATCACTTCACAACCAGAGGAACTCTTTTACTCTACGATGGCTTACAACTCCATCAGCTCCAGCCAGTATGGCCAATAGTAAGAGACTATGGAAGCTGTTCTCTATAACAGGGTAAAAGATCTCCTCTGCCTAAGAGGAAGGTGTAATTTGACATAAAATACTTTCACTTTGCACATTGCTAGGTATATACATAACTAATAAGCGTGAATGCTTCTTGTTTTTAAAAGTGCGTTTTTGTTTTGTAAAGGGAGAAAAACCCAAAATATTAAGGTGAGATTCTCTTGAGTCTCTGCAAGGGTTCTGACTCTGAATAAAAACATCACATCATGGAAGTAAATCGTTGTGGGTATTTGCAGCAGTCTTGCCATTTAAAATGGGGCTGCGGAGGTGCAGTGGGTTAAACCGCTAAGCTGCAGAACTTGCAGACTGAAAGGTCAGCAGTTTGAACAGGATGAGCTCCCACAGTTAGGCCCAGCTTCTGCCAACCTAGCAGTTTGAAAAATGTGAGTAGATCAATAGGTACTACTCTGGTGGGAATGTAACAGTGCTTCATGCATTCATGCCAGCCACATGACCTAGGTGTCTACGGACAGTGCCGGCTCTTCAGCTTAGAAAAAGAGATGACCCCCCTCCTCCCCGCGAGTCGGAATCGACTAGACTTAATGTCAAGGGGAAACCTTATCTTTTTTCCCCATTTGAAATAAAACGTTTTACAGATTTGGCTGCCTCAAAGAAAGTATATTATGTATCTGCATGCCCAAGTGTCTAATTTAGCTGAATATTGCTTCACAAAGGCTTGGAACAATATGTCTCATGATGCATTTACTCTACAACTCATAGCACCCTATGTGCAGGGCACCTTATCTATGGATGTATGCAAAATTTCTATTCCAGGCATGAAATATAGTTGTCATTACTTTTGGTGTGCGATATAGAGGTAATGTGGAATATATAAGCATAGACACACAGTTCTCCACCAATTTGGAATTATGGAAGTCTCTATTTCGCCTTAAAATGAATCAGTCCATGGAAACATTGCATTCCAAGGTAAATCCTTAAAATGTTGAATCAAACATGTTCCTAAGGATTAAAATATGTTTGCTTTACTCAAGCAATTGCAGGTTACCATCCGGGGCCATGTTTATGTACTTGAAAAATATTACCATTATCATTTAAGAGGAAGTACTTGGAATTTATTTTTAAATAACATTACAGCAGTCAGCAAAATCGTAGACAGTCCACAGAAAAACGCACATCTTGTAATATATTTCAGTTATAACCTGTGTTCACTCAGAATTGTCAAGCTATATCCAGTTTACTTCCTAATGTTACTGGTATTTGTGGGCCTGTTACAACCACAGTAACTGAAAAACAAATTAATGTAAACCTCCCAATGCCCAAACCCTGTTGATTTCATATACAGCCCTAGGGAGGTACACAGATTATCCAAGTAATCCAGTGATCATTCACTCAGTAAAATGCCCATGCAGAGAGGACCTAGTGATAACTGATGTTACGGTATAATACTACGCTAAACATTATGTGCAACCGCACACATCAGAAAGGCACGTTCTCTTTGCCAATGATTTTCTTCTCTTGGCACAGGACACCCTGGGTTTGGCATCAGGTAAGGAACCTTTCTGTATAATTTGTTGCAAATGCAATACAGGGTATGCATGGTTTATAAAGTGAAAAAAATATATTAGAAGAGCACTCTATTGCTGCTGTATGCCACAGTACAGCAGCAATAGAATGTTCTTCTAATATTTTTTTCTTCCTATTGCACATTAGGAAGAGAGTGAAGTTGGCTAGAAGTGAGCTGGCACACTTCTATCTTAATAGCTTTCAGTTGGTCTACACCAATGCAAGTGATTAAGGGATTTTTAAATTTACCCTAGAATTAAAATTCATGAAGTTGTGTGAGTGTCAATATCATATGTATTGATTTTGTTCAATAAATCACAATGTGTCCCATTTCCTCGCATGCCCATAGTTGTTGCTTCCATCTTGGCTTGCATAAACAGTTTCCTGTGACTTTCTGGACCAAGAAACTTTCAATAAATACGCAATGACAGAAGTGCCAAAGTTAAGTGTGCAATTGAAAATAGAAGTGAAGATGAACACCACTTGCTCTCAAGCCAACAAGCCATGGTTTCTTGGTCACTTCTAGACATATATGACTGGGTATTAATTGCACAGGTATGTTGATTTAGTGATTAAATTTGTATCTTGGTTGAACATTAATTCATACTGCAAAATATGTTTCTTAATATTAACATTTTCTTTGAACTGATTCCCCCAAATGGCTCTGTATGATTTGCCACACTATTTCCTTTGTTTAACTGATTTGTTTTAACAATTCTAGATTTGATTCTATGTTAATATTTATATCTTGTAGATTTTAAATTGCATTGTTTTAAATGTTGTGAGCTACTTTGATTCTCAATTAAGAGAGGAAAGTGGGGTATTAATAATAATACAAGCCAACAAAATCAAACTTTTCGTAATAATCAGAAATGAGAGTAGCATAGTATAAATCATTTTTATGCTGATTTTAAATATGTCTTTATTTTTTACCCATCACATCAACTTTTTAAAAACAGTAAGGTCTCACTTATCCAACCTTTGCTCATCCAACGTTCTGTATTATTCAATGCAGTCTGCTTGCTGCCCAGATTCACAGCTATTTCAATACATTAAGATGTTTTGGTACTAAATTCGTAAATACAGTAATTACTACATAACATTACTGTGTATTGAACTGCTTTTTCTGTCGGTTTGTTGTAAAACATTATGTTTTGGTGCTTAATTTATAAAATCATAACATAATACGCTGTTTAATAGGCTTTTCCTTATTTTGAACTATTTCAGACCATATTTTGAACTATTTCAGACCATAATGGTGAAGAACGGGCAACATTTTCGATTATCCAATGTTCTGCCGGTTCATTTATGTTGGATAAGCAAGACTCTACTGTATGACGAATCGTACATTACCGCGGACTATTGTAAAGTCGCAACATTTCACATCATATTCGTGTAACACAAGCCAACATATTTTTCATCAGATATAATTTTAGGTCATTCTTATAGAGTTTTTCATGCTGAAATCAGATTTCTGTTTATTTTTTTTCTCTATAGTTTTTGTGACAAGGCTAATAGAATAATTAATAAATTTTGCACTGATATCAATAGAATCTAATTAACCACAAACCAACAAGTATTTTTATCAGATATGATTTTAGGCCAGTCTTATAGAATTTTTTGTGATGAATTCAGATCTGTGTTTAATTTTTTCTCTATCACGTTTAGTTTTTCTGACGAGGCTAATCAAATAATGTAATTACACACCAGGAGCCCACGGTGGCACAGTGGGTTAAAGCGCTGAGCTGCTGAACTTGTTGACCGAAAGGTCACAGGTTTGACTCTGGGGAGTGGCGTGAGCTTCCGTTGTCAGCCCTAGCTTCTGCAAACCTAGCAGTTTGAAAACATGTCAGACATGACTGGACTTAATGTCAGGGGACAACCTTTACCTTTACACACTGATATCAAATAGATCCTATTGATATCAGTGTGTAAATGCATTAATTATTCAATTAACCTCATCGCAAAAACTACACACAATAGATAAAAATTAAACACGGGTCTAAATTCAGCACAAAAAAACTCTATAAGATTGGCCTAAGATTATATCTGATGAAAAATACTTGTTGGCTTGTGTAATTATTGTTAATGCCCCGCTTTCCTCTTTTGAGACCTAAATCGGCTCACCATATTCAAAACAATGAAATCTAAAACCTACAACATATAACTATTAACAGGAGAGGAGGAGGAATAAGAAGAGGAAGAGGGGGAAGAGGAGATATAAACTGTATTGAGAACAGAAAACTACACTCTAATTTTTAAATCAACATAATCAGGCGAGTTACCAAGGTTGTAGTCTCTAACTCGTTTACATCCTCTTTTTCCAGCAGCCACTCTATTAACACTGCAACTCCAGCACCAGTCTGTTCCCACTGCTGTAGCAATTCACACACCATGGAAAATGCTAAATCCAAGGCCATTTCTGCATTGACTACATGGAAACGAAGCTCTGTAACGACAAAATATAGATAGTTAAATGAATACAGACTTACATGTATTCTTCAAAGAAAGAGGCCACATCTTACAAATAGTTGGTTATCCTTGGAGTTATTTATTCAGAGTTTTAAAATTTATTTTGCTTCCCCCTTTTTGACATTTTGAACTATTTCAGACCATACTGGTGAAGAACGGGCAAACAGTTTTGGTCCTTGGAGTGAAGTACAAAGTCATCTGAAGCGTAATCACTTAGTGTGGTTTTCAGAACGAGGACAGAAAGTCCACTCACCTACATGAAATGCTACCTCAGCTACTTGTTTCATTTCTTGTCAATGGGCACAAAAGTTGGCATTGATTGCAGTTTGTTTTGTGCCACCTGAATGCTGCCTACACATGTGTATTTTAGGACAGACAGGTAAAAAGGAGAAAAATCACATTTTTGGTTTTCTTATTTAATAAATTACAAATTGATATGTATGCATAAGCACAATTTGGACAAATGTGAGGGCAGCAAAAGAAAAGGGAGACACTGCCGTTTACACAGTGGGCCAAGTTGGGGGCTGATCTTGGAAAATGAAAGGAAAGCGTAGGGTATGCTTGCATCAAGGCTGCATTCATACTGTAGAATTAATGCAGTTTGATACCACTTTAACCGCCATTGACTCAGTGCTACAGAATCCAGGGCGTTGTGGTTTGGTGAAGCTGGTATCAAACTGCATTAATTCTGTAGTGTAGATACAACCCCAAATACACCTACCACTGGCTCCAGAGTTTTATTTAGACTGCACTTGTGTACACACTAAAACACATATAGCACTCATCAATTATATTCCTGGGTAGTTTGGAATACAATTAAAAAGTTCTTGATCCCTCATCCCTAGACATTTGTTTTCTATCGAAGTCTTAACAATTCATTCCATTAAATGAAAAGAAATAATCAATGGGACCTAAGAATCATTATCAGCAGTAGCAAACAGCTAGCGGCCACATTTGCACATAAAAAAATAAAACCTGGAGCCCCCGGTGGTGCAGCGAGTTAAACTACTGAGTTGATGAATTTGCTGACCAAAAGGTCAGCTCTTCAAATTTGGGGAACAGAGTGAGCTCCCCGTTAGCCCCAGCTTCTGCCAACCTAGCAGTTCGAAAACATACAGATGTGAGTAGATCAATAGGTCTGGTGGGAAGGTAACAGTCATGCCGGCCACATGACCTTGGAGGCATCTATGGACAACGCCAGCTCTTCAGCTCGGAAATTGAGATGAGCACCACCCCCTAGAGTTGGACACAACTAGACTTCATGTCAAGGGGAAATATTTACCTTTACCTATTGGATGTAAATCTTTCCATATTTCATTCCTGTCTATGTGAGTCGCCCCAACCATTCTGGCCAGCCCAACAGCAAGTGTTAAGGGCATTTTCTGGTTTTGTCATATTTGAGGGTTTTTTCTGGAACAGGGATCCTCAAACTAAGGCCCGGGGGCCGGGTACAGCCCTCCAAGGTCATTTACCCGGCCCTCGCTCAGGGTCAACCTAAGTCTGAAACGACTTGAAAGCACACAACAACAACAACAATCCTATCTCATCAGCCAAAAGCAGGCCCACACTTCCCATTGAAACACTAATAAGTTTATATTTGTTAAAATCGTTCTTCATTTTAATTATTGTATTGTTTTTAAGCATTTTTGCACTACAAATAAGATATGTGTAATGTGCATAGGAATTCATTTATGTTTTTTTTCAAATTATAATCCGGCCCTCCAACAGTTTGAGGTACTATGACCTGGCCCTCTGTTTACAAAGTTTGAGGACCCCTGTTCTAGAACAATTATGTGACTGCAAGTGTTCTTTTGGTTAAAAGCACATTTTTGAGCAAAAATACTGCACAAATTCTAGTCCTTTTTAGTGCAATGTACAATTTTTTAAAGTGTAAACACAGTAAAAAATTTAAATTGACCTTTTCTTCCTCAGAATATGAAGGCAGAAAATACCACAATATCTGCTTTGAGCTGGAATATATGGCAATGTGGACTCAGATAATTCAGTTCAAAGCAGATAAATGTGGGATTTTCTGCCTTGATATTCTGGGATATAGAGCTGTGTGGAAGGACTATTACGCAGGACTAAAGAAGAAACAAAATCTTACACTGGTTTAGTATTTTGCAGTAGTTGAGATGTCACATTAAATACTCGTTTCCTGGTTAATATTATTTGCTTTTGTCTATACACTGTGTGCACCTGAACACTGAATCCTGTTTGTTACATGCAAATGCAGCCTAAACAGAAAACTTCAAGAGCAAATGAAAATCTAGTGATTTATGTGGAAAAAATGATCTATGGGTTATCTCATGCAAATTACTAAATATTCGGCTATCAGATTCCAGAGTTATAGACAGTATCAATTCTAGCATGCAAAAAAATAAAAGAGAGACAAAATGTTAAGGAAGTCTGTTTGATTTTGTTACAATAGAGGACATATTTTGTTCCATCAACCTGCAATTACATGCAAAGCTTGCGGATGCATACCACATACCTACAGAAAAGAAAGTGGAAGGTGTTTTTTTCTTTTCTTTTCTTAAGGCATGCTAAGCTTCAGGAAGAACATTTTTATAAAAGGCAAGAGCTTCACTGTTTTGAGCTTTTGTTAATCCATTTAATGTAGAACAAGACCTCCCACACACATTCAGAAACCAGAAGACTTTTGATCATGTCAGATGTAAACATTTCTCTTGGTAGACTACTTTGTGCCTTCAAAAATATACAAGCCAATTCTTTCTTTTTTTTTATTTTCCCCTAAGGATAATTGTAAGAACACCCCAATAGGCTATTTTCAACTTTACAGATGAGCCGCATAGAAATGCCAAAAATATATACAGTTCTGAGAATGCAATATAGTTAATGTGAATTAATTTTGCAGTTCTAGGTTTACTAATCGCTTTCTGTTAGCTTATAAAAGGAAATGTCAATCCATAAATTAATGTCAGCACAAAAAAACATTCACATCATAATAATAATAATAATAATAATAATAATAATAATAATAATAATTTTAGCAACAGTAGTAACATATACCCTGCCACCATCTCCGAAGTTTGGTATCCTGGCAGTGGTTACATACAGTAGGTGACTGTGTAGCCCTATCCTTGACCTGCATGTTATCCCACAGTGTGGGCATCGGTTTCCAGGAGGAAGGTGGTCCTGGACAGGATTGGCTTTACACGGCTTCCTCTTGGCTCATTTCTCTCTTTTGCCCTCCATTCATACCTCTTCAAATTCTACAGCATTGCTGGTCACAGCTGACCTCCAGCTGGAGCGCTCAAGGGCCAGGGCTTCCCAGTTCTCAGTGTCTATGCTGCAGTTTTTAAGATTGGCTTTGAGCCCATTTTAAAATCTCTTTTCCTGTCCTCCAACATTCTGTTTTCTGTTCTTGAGTTCAGAGTACAGCAGCTGCTTTGGGAAACAGTGATCGGGCATTCAGACAACGTGGCTGGTCCAGCGGAGTTGATGATGGAGCTGCTTCTTCCAGCACACTGACATTTGTCCGCCTGTTTTCCCAAGAGATTTGGAGGATTTTTCTGTGGCAACGCTGATGGAATTGTTCCAGGAGTTTCATGTGACATCTGTAGACAGTCCATGTTTCGCTGGCATATAGCAGGGTTGGGAGGACAATAGCTTTATAAACAAGCACCTTGGTATCCCTATGGATATCCTGGTCCTAAAACACTCTGTGCTTCATTCAGAAAAATGCTGCACTCGCAGAGCTCAGGAGGTATTGTACTTTAGTGTCAATATTGACTTTTGTGGAGAGGTGGCTGCCAAGGTAGCGGAAATGGTCAACATTTTCTAATGTTACACCATTAAGCTGCATTTCTGGCACTGCAGATGGGATGGTTGGTGATTGCTGGAAGAATAGCTAAGCAATGTATGAGTACAGTGGACCCTGAGATTGAGTTGCAGGATACCAATGCCCCCCTGTGGATGCCAAAATACATGAATGATCAAGTCCCACTATATACAATGGTGTAGAAAAATGGATGGCAAAATCAAGATTTCATTCTTGAGATTTTATTTATTTATTGGAATATTTTCAGTCTGTGGATGGTAGATATGGAGAGCCAATTGTAATTTGCCACTCTATATATATTATTCTGTAAAGACACAGACTTGAATCACAACAAACTCTGTCAAGGGCTTTGAAGGGGAAAATATAGTTCAATTGCAGCGGCACTGAAAAGCTCAGACGAGCATGGAAGACTGGCTTTCCCTGCTCCTCCATCTGCTTAAATCCAGTAAGTTATCTGCATAGTTACAAACAGCAGAATGGCCTAACTTCTGGCCATACTAATTTTCGAAGCCCTGGCTGAATTCCAGTGTTTGTGTTGTTGGCGTATGGCTGGGAGCTACCTAAGAATTCCTTAGTGCTATTCAAGAACCTTCTACAGATTTATTTTACACTGGAGATAGACTACAATTTGAAAAAAAAATCTGAAAAACCTGAATCTATTACTGTTATCTGGCAGCACAGAGTATCAATGTGTTGGGTTGCACAAGTCAAATGATACTGCAAGCACACCTGGTGTATGTAGATTTCATGACATTGTTGGAAACGTTTTCAGATTAAGAACTGCGGGAAAATGGCACTTGGTTGACCAGAGAATTATAACAACATCTATCATATTTAAACCTCTTACCGACTCCCATAGCATGTTTAATAAAACTTTTTCAAGTGTAATAAAAGCTAACAGTCTAATGGCATAAAAATCTCAACACTCTCTCATTCTATTTATGTATTTTTAAATGGGCTAGTTACAAAATGATTGCAGCCAATAGGAATTCCACAGAGGATATGCTGGGGACATATTATCATTGACTTATTTTATAACTTTGCATAAAATGTGGTTTGTCAGCAGAAAAAAACCCTCTAAATTTTCTTGCATGTTTAACTAGCTATTAAAAATATTTATTCAACTTCATTTGTGGTGAATTTTTGTAAATCTCATTTGCCCATCTCACTTC